CCCGTGGCCTTGGTGTTATCAGCACCACACTCTCCCGAGTGAGCCACAGGCCGGCCCCGCCTTTTATGTTTCAAACATTTTAAATTTAGAAATGTCAGAGGATGGAGTAAGTTAAAATTGATGAAGTAACTGGGCTGGAGAACCGTACCTCCCCAGAATTGGTGAAAAACCCATTTTACTCATGGGGAAATTAAGGAAGGTGTAGGAGTACCTGCCGATGGAAAGTGATCATAGGGTGGTATTACAAGTTGGAGGGGGACAGACTTAATAAACTCCTGGCAAAAACAGACTGTCACAGACAAAAGAGTATATCCCATATGATTCCATTTATATGAAATCCCAGAACAGGAATCTATAGTGAGAGAAATCAGATAAGAGGTTATCTGGACGGGTGGGTGGGGCTATGTGTAAAGCGACACGAGAAGTGTGATCCAGGGGATAGAAACGTTCTACGTACTGTTTGGTGTGACAGTTACATGGGTATATACATTTGTTGAAACTCATCAAACTGTACACTTAAAATGTGCACATTTTAGTGTGTGGAAATTATTCCTCAATAAAGTTGATTTTAAAATTCCCTGCATCCAGGTCTGTGATGCCCTTCATTAGCTACACCCTCCTAACAGCCAAAAAAAAAAAAAAGTCATGCCAGTTTCCATTCCAGGGGGTGCTCACAAGAGAACGACTGTCAGATCTGTGCCTACAGAGGAAACCATTCCACTTCCTTGTTTTTCTGCCAACAGAAACAATTCTTGGTGGCTGTCCTACTTCCTTTTTCCTGGCATGTCAAGCCTGGCTCTGAGAGTTAAAGGGGAAACAAAGAGGTTCAGGGCTTTTATGCAACTCAGCCTCTTCTAGCTCATACCTCCATGCTAGAAAGAACAAACCACTGGCTCAGAGTATGATTTTATATCAAAATATTATAGTATCTGCTCCATATCAATTCTCGGTTAGTTCAAGATCTAAACTCGGTGCCAACACCAGGGCTTGATACTGGGGGAACTAGAAAAGACTAAAACACTTGCTTGAGAGGGGTCAATTGTCCCTTAGCCAGGATGAACTGTTCTAACAGGAACTATTCAGGAATGTTCTATTCATTAACTCTCTGTGTAACTCACAGTGACTGCAGCATAGTTGAAATGGTTGTAAACTGGTCAGTTTTTAGTTCTCACTTCATCTTTACTCTTGATTAACCAACCCAACAGCAGGAAATTTTTAACTCAGATAATATATTGGTGAACAATCCATATCTCAACTAGATAGACTCATCCCTCATTTCCATTGGGCCCCATGTAGATGATTCACTCTAGGGATTAGCTGCACTATTTTTTTGTTTGTTTTTTAGTTGTGCTAAATGTTATATTCCCAGAAAGTTCTAGTCAATTTCTATTGAACAGTACTTATTGAAATAGGTACTACACGCTTCATTCTGTGTTAGGGATGTGTGTGGGAGGAGGGAGGAAAGTGTTATGCACACAAAAGAAATTGGAGGTTTATATTCTTTACTAGCGAGGTGAGACAAACCCATGATACAGTGAAACTCAAACTCAAAACAGTATACAGTTAAGTGAGAATACAGGGATACAGAAATCCTGAACAACAGACATTCTAAGGATGATGAGCTTAGTATGGTCTGAGGGTCAGACTCCCCACCCTCACCCATCAGGCTAGAGACTGGGCTCCTATCACCTCTCCTGGTATTGCCAAGAGCACTTGACACTGGAAGAGTCTACAATAAGATCATGTTGCAACTCTGCTTAAAAATCTTCCATGACTCCTCATCAATCTCAAGGTAAAGTTTTAACTCTTTAGTCTGGCATTCAAGTCCTTTCCGCCAAACTTATTTAATTTACTTCTACTCAATGTATTGAGGGCCTTACTATATACCAGTATTATACTGTGCCAGAAGCTGAGGATAGAAATAAGAAAAGATGTGATCTCCATTTAGCTGGAAAGACAGACAACAAATAACCAATACAATGTGATGAATGCTATAACTGAGTTATGTAGAAAGGGAGATGGAAAAACAGACTAAGAAATGACTGATTCTGCCTGGGATGGGGAGTGAGAGGGTTGGTTACTAGAGGAAGTTACAGAGAAATATTTTAGTTGGGCCCAGGATGGTAGTTCTCCAAAATATGAGAGGAAGGAAATCTCAGGCTGTGGGAGCAGTCAGAACCAAGCCTTGGCGTTGTGCAAGTGTACTGCCCACTTTAGGAACGGTGAGTGTGTGTGCAGGGGCGGGTAGGAGTGTAGAGGGCAGCAGCGGAGGCCAGAGGTAATAAGGAGTGGAGGGAGATAATACAGGAAAGATATGTGGACAGTCCAGCACGTTCTCAATATTAATAAACAAAAGCTGCTTCTATTTATTGAATGCCTGTAAGTGGCTAATACTTTTAATGTATCATAAAATAATATATATTACACATATATAATTGTATATTATATATCACACATATATAATATATATTCTGTTCTATGCTATTATTTCTAATACTTAATAGTCACGTAGAATATTACTAACCTGATTTTTCAAGAGGGTCAAAGAAGCTGGGTACTTTACTGAGGTCACAAAGACAGTATGTGCAGAGTCAGGATTTGATCCCAGGTCTGTCTGGTGCCAAAACCTGGGCTTTTTCTACTATGTTGTACAGCCCTTTTTATGGATAGCCACCCTACCTAAGGTAGTATTTTCCATTCGTTGCC